GCTCCTTGCTGCGGAACTTCTAGCCGTTCTTCTCGAAGAGATTGATGTAGTAACGAATGACGGTTATGAAGTTGGACCATTGTGGATTTTGACCGATTCTCAGCTTAATGCGTGGAGGCTCCGTCGATCACCTAAGCTTGATGAGAAGTACCTGCCGAAGTTTGAGCTCCGGCGTATGATGAGGCTGCGCAAGCTACTCTCTGATCTATCTCATAAATGCCATCATGATATTCATATTGGCAGCATTTCGGGGGCGGAGAATCCTGCGGATAATGGAACGCGTCCGGGTATGATAGATGTTCCAGCTAGGATGATGCCTTTATCTGGAATGAATATTGAGCTCACTCTGAGTAAGGTCAAGGTGGTCTCTACTTTCTCTCCCACCCCCACCTTAGGCTATGATGAGGTTGAGGATGAGTTGGACGTCGTCTTGTCTTCGGCTGATGCATCAGCTAATGCTGTGTTGGATCTGCAGAAAGATACTCCTTCCCTGGAGCCTAGCGAAGGTCTTCGGCAGCTGTTACTGGATGCTCAGACCGCCGATCCTCAGTTACGGGATATTCTCAAGAAGCTCAGAGCTGCTGATGGTGTTATCGATGGTTATGAGCTGAATAATGGCCTCATCTATCGCACGTGTAGTGTTGCTCTAGATGATTCGAATAGAGGTTCATGTATTTGTCGTCAAATTGTGGTTCCTGAGGTTCGTCGAGATCTTCAGCTTCTTGTGGTTAAATGGGTGCACGATAAACATCGAGGCCATCCAGGTCGTACTACTCTCACCAGATGGGTTTCGCGCAGCTACTACTGGAAAAGACTCGATCGGACAGTGAGGGTGTTGAACAGAGAATGTGAAGGTTGCCAGGCGAGGAGGATTGCTGAGAACAGACGTCGAGCACAGTCTCCGCGACCCCCTGGTTGCTCTGTGAAATATGAGCCGTTTGCGATAGCTTACTTCGATGTGATGGGCCCCTACCAGCTCTCTAAGGAGGAAGATGGTGACCCTAAGAAGGTGTATGTATTTACCCTCTCTTGTCATTCATCCAAGTTTGTGAAGTGTGAGCCTGCTTACAGTAAATCGGGAGTGAATGCTGCCAGAGCCTTACTTCGACTACTAGCAGATGAGGGTCCGTCAAGAGTATTAATGATTGACCAAGGCTTAAATGTGCCGGAGGTTCTGGCCGCTGCTGATGAATGGGATGTGACCGTAATAGCTGCCCCACCTCGTGGAGAAGAGTTGAGAGGATGGGGTGAACGGGCCCATAGAGATGTGCATGCTGTTATTCGTGGATGTTTATGGGATCTGGCTGCTGACCATAAGCTTCCTTCAGAAGATGAGTTCTTACGTATACTCAATAGAGCGGTCACTATTGTTAATATGACTCCTTATGTTGATGGCTCACCACTTTGCCCTTTCCTTGTCTGTCGAGGACATAGTAGGATGATTGGTGATATTGATGCCAAGAAGGAGGCTGAAGATATTCGAAAGGCTATATTTGATGGT